AAACATGAACGTAACCTAAGGTCAGCAAAAAATTCAGATTTATTTATACCTAAACCAAAAAAAGAAATTTTTAGAAAATCTCTGACTTACTTGGGCCCCAAACTATGGAATAATATCCCTCTCTCCATACGTAAATCTGAAACTGTTGGAAAATTTCAAGCATCAGTTGGAATCTCTCTCAAGTACCTTGATCTTACATAGATTTAGTGTAAAGTAATGTATGTTCATGCATTGTACATGTATTTTGAATATGTATTGTGATTTTAATTATTTATTGTTTCATAAAGTAATATATTATTATATTTTGTGTTTTCATGTGTATATGTATTTTGAAAACTTCACTGTATAACCATGATGTAAATTATGTATATTTTATGTATATTTATGTTTTTGAGGCCCACATGGAAGATTGGGAAACCAAATGTGTAGCCTCATTAAATAAAGACTTTACTTACTTACTTACTTACTTACTTACTATAAGGAAAATCAATGATCCCCGAGGCGGGCCAATTTTAACCCAAGGGCCCTTATTTGAACAAAAATGGTAGACACCCATTTGAAGATGTTTCATGCTAAATATATTAGCTCTAGCTCTTAGGGTTTTTTAGAAGAAGATTTTTTAAGTTTTTAATAAATACATAGAGGGAAAAACAATGACCACCTGGGGCGGGACCAATTTTGACCCCAGGGCTTTTATTTGAACAAACCTGGTAGACACCCACTAGAAGATGTTTCATGCTTATTATCTAAGCTCTAGCTATTTGGGCTTTTTAAAAGAAGTTTTTTTAAGTTTTTACTATATACATATCTGGAAAATCAATGATCCCCGGGGCGGGCCAATTTTAACCCAAGGGCCCTTATTTGAAGACACTTGGTAGACACCTATTAGAAGATGTTTCATACGAAATATCTTAGCTCTAGCTCTTAGGGTTTTTTTAAAAGAATTTTTTTAAAGTTTTTACTATATACATAAAGGGAAAAATAATGACCCCCTGGGGCAGGGCCAATTTTGACCCCAGGGCTTTTATTTGAATAAACTTGGTAGACACCCACTAGAGGATGTTTCATGCTTACTATCTTGAAGCTCTAGCTATTTGGGCTTTTAAAAGAAGATTTTTTAAGTTTTTACTATGTACAAATAAGGAAAATCAATGACAACCCGGGGTGAGGCCAATTTTGAACCCAGGGCATTTTTTTAACAAACTTTGTAGACACTGACTAGATGATGTTTCATGCCAAATATTTAAACTCTAGCTCTTTCGGTTTTCTAAAAGAAGATATTTTAAGTATTTTCTTTTGGTTGCCATAGCAACCAGAGTTCTGCTTGGAATTAAATTATTTGAACAATTTTAAAGTGACTACCAAAGGAACATTCCTGTGAAGTTTGGATGAAATTGGCTCAGCCATTTATGAGGAGATGTTGTTTAAAGTAAAAGCTTATGGACGGATGGACAGACTCGGACGCCGGATAAAAAGCAATCGCAAAAGCTCACCATGTCACTTTGTGACATGCTGATCAACATTCCTGTGAGGTTTCATGACTCTAGGTCAAATATTTTTTGAGTTACGTGAGACATAAAGTTAAAATAGTAAATTTTAACTAAGTCAAGGGCAATAACTCTAAAAATATCCACATTAAAATACCCAGGTGCACATGCTGAGCAACATTCTTGTAAGGTTTCATGGTGCTAGGTCAAATACTTTTTTAGTTTAGTGCGACACAAGTTGAAAATTGGAAATTTTTACTAAGTCAAGGGCAGTTACTCTAAAAATACTAAAAATATCCACACGAAAATACCCAGGTGCACAACTACACATGCTGATCAACATTCCTGTAAGGTTTCATGACTGTAGGTCCAATATTTTTTGAGTTATGTGCGACACAAGTTGAAAATCGGAAATTTTTACTTAGTCAAGGGCAATTCCTCTAAAAATACTAAATATATCCACATGAAAATACCCTGGTGCACAACTTCACATGCTGATCAACATTCCTGTAAGGTTTCATGACTCTAGGTCAAATATTTTTTGAGTTATGTGCGACACAAGTTGAAAATTGCAAATTTTTACTAAGTCAAGGGCAATAACTCTAAAAATACTTAATATATCCATATGAAAATACCCAGGTGCACATCTTCACCAAATTGCTTATCAACATTCCTGTAAGGTTTCTTGACTCTAGGTCAATTACTTTTTGAGCTATGTGCGACACAATTTTAAAGGGAACGGACAAGGGTAAATCTAAATGCCCCCCTATAGTGGGGGCACAAAAAGGTATCAAATGAAAACACACGCTATACTATTATCTTTCACAAGTGCTCATGCATAGCGGATTCAAAATAATCTATTGTTTTTTTTTCTCTGTTTGCAAGTGTTCAAATATCCATTTATTTGAGTTATGCTGAGTCCTGAGCAATTGTGATATTTCAAGTGGTTATCAATATTATCCAGAGGTGACAAAGCTCACTTCAGAAATGCATGTGCTTTATTAATGTTAAGGCCTCAACAGACGGTAGGATTTTGAAGTACAACACCAATTAAAATTAAAAAATAGAAATGATACTAAAAAAATGCAACTCTCAGTTATACCTACTTCTCAGAATCAAGCAATACCTAGACTTACATGCAAGAAAACTATTCTTTAACTCATACATCTTACCGCACCTAGATTATTGCTGTACTATCTGGGGCAATTGCAGCAATGATCTGATCAATGAAATCATAAAATTTCAAAAAAGAGCAGCAAGAATAATTCTTGATAAAAGTTACGATGCACCCTCCAGTGATTTGTTTAAAGAACAAAATTGGATGAGCTTTGATGAAAGAATGCAATACAAAAAAAGCAATCATAATGTTTTAATCTATCAATGACATACCATATCCACAATACATGCAAAGTAAATTCCAATTTGTTTACCAAAAACATGAGCGCAACTTAAGATCTACAAATAGTTCAGACCTAGCTGTTCCTCGACCTAAGAAAGAATTTTTCAGAAAATCCCTAGTATACTCTGGCCCTAAATTATGGAATATCCCTCTTAACATAAAAAAATCTAAAACAGTTCAGGAATTTCAAGCTTCATATCTATCCTGGCATTTCTCATCATTAAATTAATCATTTTATAACAAAATTAGAATCTTATCATTTGATGTACCAACTGAAACATATTTCCCACTTCGTTTAATTTGATATGTTCTTCTTTGACATGTATTATGCTATGAATGGACTGTATATATTTAACATGTATTTCTTGTTCTGACAATTTCAATGTACATTGTAACACAATGTTGTTGCAATTATTTTTGTAATATTGTAGTTGTATATAATATTTATAATTATTGTAAATTATGTTTTTCATAGAGGCCCACATGGAAGATGGGAAACCAAATGTGTAGCCTCAATAAATAAAGCCTTTACTTACTTACTTACTTAAAACTAAGATGTACAGACAAATCTTAACCTTTTACCCCATGAGCATATTGCGAAAAATGGCTGTTTTCATTGAAAAGCCTCTTGTAACAAGTTCAAACTGCTATGAAACTATGAAAAATGCCTCATAATACTGATGAAACTTGGCACAAATGTTGACTACACCATAGCCTCTGTAACAGCATGCTCAATCGTAAATTTCCTGTTACCACGGCAACGGGGGGATGTCTCAAAATTGCCAAAAATCACTATTTTGCATTGTTTTTTTCCATCAAAACTGATTTCAAAGTGCTGCAACTTCTCAATGAATTGAGATAGAGTAAAAGGCTTTTCAGCGTCGGTTACTAGTTACCCTAAGATCGACCTGAGGCCATTTTTAGCCTGTCACATGTCCAAAATTGTCTTGGCGATGAGGGGGACTCCGCCCCCTTCATACCCCCCCAAACAGAAGGGGGCACATTTTCACTGTTTGAGGCCTCAAAAAGGGGGGGGGGGCAAAAAGCCGTCGAAACACGCTTATATGAGGGAAAAGGTTAATGTGTGAAGGCTACTATTTCTTGATTTCGGAAACCTTAAGTCTAGATGTAAGGGATAGGACATGTTCTATTTTGAAAATCTTGTCGTACAAATTTTTACAGACCTCCCACAATGACAAGTAACAGATAGCCAAATTATCTCCTGATAATGGGTGTAATGAATGAAATTCCAGAACAATTAGGGCTAAAAGGTAAACATAGTAGTAAGATGGGGTAAAAATGATGTTGAAAAACTCTTCAGGAGACCCAAAGTTGTGTTATGTTCGAATCCCAAATTATTTCAAAAATGATTATGTCACGGTATTGAATTGTTCTCTAATTAGGGGAGGGGAGGTAGTTTGTAGGCGGCCAGATAGCTTAGTGACAGTAGAGCTGCAGTACGGTATTCTGAGGGTCCCAGGTTTGAGTCTCGGTCAGGCTTCACATTAAAAAAATATATATATATTTTTTTAAATGGAGGTGTTTCAATCATTACTCATGGCGAAAAAGGTATTTAGTGAGTAAAGTAAGTAAAGGATCAATGTAACGGGTTCCTTTTTAGGGGAAACCTCATATATTTCTTACAGTGTAGAATTACTGTCTGAATACAAGTGTTGTATAGCTTTTTTTATCTGTACAACTAAATCCTACCGTCTGTTGAGGCCTTAACATAACCCACATAAATTCACCTGAAGAGTAATCAGTGTGTTTTTTTTGTAGACAAACATAAATATTGAAGGCATGATATTGGGACATAAATATTGAAGGCATGATATTAGGTAAATGCTTAAAATATATCCCGTGCGCGAATTTAAGTAAGTAAGTTATGACAGTGTCCGACACATTTTGAGGACGACACTGTTTAGATGACAGTTTTTAGCCTTATTTTCGGTCTTTAATAACCTTAGATGCACATTTTTTAATGCCAAGAATTAACTTCATTAGAAAATTAGTATATAACATCATTTGTTACTAAACTAATAAAACTATAAGTCTAGTACAGGTAAATAAATACCTGTAATTATTACCTGAGATTAAGCTGACAATCGGACTACCTCTGTTATTATTCGGTTGAAAACGAAAGTGGACTTCACAATTTATTTCAGCTCGATGAAAAAGGTAGAGATGTAGCTACAATTAAATTAAATTATCTGCTCAAAAAGTGAGACCTCCTTTTAAGCAAATGAAGGTAGGGAAAATTGCTTGGATTTTTTTGTTTGTTAATATTTCTATTTTAATGTGGGTGTGTCAATACGTAGTATGAACGGATAGGACCATGTCAAAACATGCTAACTACATGTAGTATCTTATATATATATATTTATTTAATATTCTTATTTTTTTAATCATGTAATAGATTAATTACTTTTATCTATTTAAAGGAACTCCACTGAGTGAGTTTTAATTTTCAACATTTTAATTTATTACATATATAGATAAGATAAGCTAATAATCTTAGCAGTCAGGGCCCCGAAATTCTATCCAAAACAAAAAAATAACAATTTAAAAAAAAAATCCCATATAGCCAGGCCCTGGGTTCTATGAATTATCAAGGTACTTAACGTTTATTGAAAAATATTCAAATAATAAATATCATATATGAAATATGAGATTTTTCTTTTATCTAATAAGTGAACTTTTTCCAAAACTGTTAAAAAAAGATCCTTTTAAAATGTCATTTATTTTACTTTTTCCAATGTCTGCCATTTTGGGTAATTTCAGAGGAGGTTGAACTATGGTATCACGGTAGTTGTCCCCAAAAATGCAAGTATGGAAGGATATAGATTGGTCAAAATCTTCAAAGTAAGTTGTGAAAAACTTCGAACAGTTTAAACTTGGTATAACATTCAAACTATATGAACAGATAATGTGTCAGTATATGTGATTATAAAATAACATATTTTAATTGACTATGTAAAAACGATTAATGAAAATAGTGCCATAAAAATTATGGTCAAATGTATGAAGGAGGTTTTATAAAATAGTTTTCTTGCCACAAATTAACATTCATTATTCACAAATTTATTTTTATTGGGCCAGATGAAAATGAATTTAGTGTGCCAGTTTGAAAAATATTAACATCATTGTGTGTTGCTTTTACTAGCAGTCAAAGAAATTTTATGTAAATACTGTGATAATCATAGAACCCGTAATATAATAGGAACAGAGTATAATATATACTATAAAAAAACTTTTATAGTATATATATGGATTTTTTTTTTAATTGTTATTTTTTTGTTTTGGATAGAATTTTGGGGTCCTGTGTTTATAGTTAGTTACAAAAAAACATGTGAACATTAGATATATAAGCAATTTTCCGACATAACAGACTATCCTTTAACAATGCAAACAAACAACCTGTATAAAAGAAAAAATCAGCTAGTGTACTTTAATTAGAAAGATACGCAAAAGATAATTAAGAAAAAACTAAGAAATTAATTGAAATCGTATTTTGTGCTATTCGTAGCCCAATTTGTGTGAAAAGCGTTCAAAAACAGATGAGCAAATTGATCTGAAATTTTCCACAAAAGTTATATTGGTCTAGATCAAAATTGAACATGGAACATTTTATATCTGTCGAAAAATTATTTCCAGTCCTCACAGTCATGTCAAGAAAACCCAGTGGAGTTGCTTTACCTTTATGTTTTAGTCCAACTACAGGTAAATGTAGTCACACACTTTGAGATATCAATTGCTTTTTTGTGGGTATGCTGAACATTTCAGTGATTGATCAATACAAATAAGAATTATTTCAAGTAAATGAGTGGCAATATCTTAATAATAAGTTTTATTTCTAAAAAAAACTTATATTAAGTAAAACATAGATAACTTAATTTAAAGGCACATACATACATCGTACATGTATATGCCTCAGCTTTCCATATTTTCTATAGTAAGTAAGTAAGTAGCGACTTTATTTAATGAGGCAACACAGTTGGGCCCTGTGAGCCTCAACAATGTACAAAACAATTTATAAAATACAATACATCAATAAGAGATTTAATAATTACATAAGTTGATTTCATTATTATACATTCAACATTGAAATATGTGAGATCAACCTTGAACAAACAAAAGACATGTGTTGATAATATATACACTGAATTGGATGTTATCAAAAGTTAAAATTAACATATATATAAAACAAACATATTTAAACGAATATAAAAACAAATATTTACATTGCATTTAAGCAGAGGTTTCCACCAGAGAACCACCATGTTAAGAATGTTTTTTTGAATTGTGCAAGACTGTTTGATTGCCTGATATGTAATGGTAATTTGTTCCAGATGTAAGGCCCTGCGTTTCTGCAAAATTCTAATCTAGGTTTGGGTATATGTAGTGTCTGTTGAGTGTGTGATCTAAGAGTTGTGTGATTTGTATGCGAAAATTAATCAGACATATAATGACTGGCAATAGATTGTTAAGGGATTTGTAAACAAAAATTGCCTTTTTATAATGTATGCGGTCATGTATTTTTAACCAATTCAATTTATGAAACAATATATTTGAGGGTGTATCAATGTCTGCATCAAGTATAATACGGGTGGCTCTGTTCTGAAAGCTGTTCAGTAATTCATCATTTCAATTTCCCCAAATAGTGCAGCAGTAATAGAGGTGTGGCAATTAATAATGTATGCATTATAAAAAAGCTATCCTCATTTGTTTGTTTAGGTATTGTTTAATACGAAGTAGAAGATACAGTAATGAATTGCATTTTTTAATCAGATGTTCAATTTGACAGTTCCATGATAATCTATGATCCACATAAACTCCTAGTAATTTTTAATAAATTCAATGTCATTTTCCTGGATTTTCAAAATGTAATCATTGCTTGATTTATTTGTGTTGTAAATGATATTTGATGGGAGATTATCATTAAATCAAACTAGTATCAATAACATACATAAATTATTCTTTACACATTTCTATAGCACCTGTGTTTATATGTTTTTTTGTGTAAGTAGATTATAATAAATATTCTGCACTTGTTTATGTTATGTTTGGCTGAAGCTAGAAATGTTCGCGGATTTGTTATAAGTGACATATTCACGGCTTTAAAGATTCGCGGAATCATGCCTACCGCGAAAACCGCTAACTTAAAATGCGCAAAATCTTTTCTAGGAATACAGTATGTATGACAATGAACTTTATCCGTACCTTTTTTTGAATAGGTCCAGGTATGAACAATAAGGAAATTCTTTAAAACTTTTGAGCCATAAAATAGTGAAAATTTGGAAAGAGTGTACAATCAAATTGTTAACATAGAATGATAATTGAGAATTTTTTTGAAAAAAAAATGAAATGTAGCAATTATGTTATGTTAAGATTGTTTTAGAGAATGAAAGAAACATAAGAAAAAATCTTAACAACAACCACTCCCCTAACAAGTGCATAGCAAATATTTGAGGGTCTGATAAATAAACCACTTTAATATATGTTTGTCTGATTTCAGGTTTTCCTCTTTGTGTTTTTACTCCACTTGGATACACACAGAGCTGCATTTGGGATCCCAATATATGAAGGTGAAAGGTAAGTTACATATTGTCCTTCCTGATGGCTAGATGAGAAGTGTGAAACACTGAATAAATTCAAATAATTATACTTATTTCTAGCTCAGGTATTCAAGGAATAGGGAGAGCTATTTTACTCATCCCAGTGCCGCCATCATACTATTGGTAAGTTTATGTGTACAAGTTGGTATCTTGAAAACTACTAAAGGGAATGCCCACCTGTTAAGCCAGTAAGGCAAACGTTATTGATAGTCGGTTATGGTTAACAGTACAAAAGCTTAAAGCTTGTATCTGACATGAAAAAAAGATAAAAATAATAATGATAACTGCTAATTTTTTGATAATAATACATACGATTATATTAATTGATATTGTCATTATTATGAAATCAGAGCATTAAAATTAAAATACAGTACCGATAACAGGGTTTTACATAATAAACATAGTACATAATTCAAGGAAAAGATAACTAAAATGTTCGCTTCAAAGCGAAAACTTTTTACTTTACTTGTTTGTGTGCATACTTTAGGACTGGTACAATCAATGTAGTTTGGTATCTTATAAAATTTTTAATTGATGAAGGTACATTAACAAGTGCTTGAACATTTTCTTTGATGAAATGCTGTTTAGACATTTAAAGACTTCAACTGCAAGTTGTTGAATTCTACTGGTTATGGAGTGATGACATATTGGTCAGTTTAAAGATCTTCTAAGTTGATGAATTTTAAGTCATTAAAATCAGATTTCAGAACTCTGTGTTGAAGTTTTTACAATTTATTAGTATTGTCCTTGCTACAAAAATGCCAGACTTAAGGGCTGAAGTTAAAAGTTGGATCTTATAAAACTTTTTTTTCATACAGATTAAGTAGTAGAATATTATACATGTACTTGTGTAGATTCAATACATTTTATGTATCAAAGTATGATGTGGTGGTGGTATTGGTAGTTAAATTTCACTCAAGATCAAGACAGTAATTAAGCCACATTGAATTCACCAGAGCACAGTTCAACCACCACATCATTCCTGGGCAGGCTATCAAGCAGTTTACCAGTACTAGTTGCCTTCACCTTCGCAAGGAACTGACACTTCTGTTCGTGCCAGAGCAGAGGTACAGTGCAAGTGACAGTAGAAAGGATTTCATGATCAATCACAACAAAAGTGACCTGTGCCGTCCTTGAATTGAACCCAGAATGCCTGATTCACAGTCCAACGTTCTACCTATTGAGCTAACCGGAAGGCATATGTATCAAAGACTGACATATTATAGAATGTATACATGTATATTAAATAAATATCTGTAATCTAATAAACAAAATTCTGTTTTTAATCTTAATCACAGGATTCAATTTGAAAATAGCAAGGCCTTAATAAATATCATATTAATTGTCATCATTTACAATTGGCCAGATTGTATTGAAGTACAAATTATGTAGGTTTCAGTATTCCATTGCTGTTTAACTATATGCTGATGTTAAACACATGCTTTATATTCAGAAGTGCCCCAAGAGAAGATGCTGCACTGGCACAACAAGATGTGAAGAGAAATGAAGGTAAGAACTACAGGTGCAAGAGTCTGCTGCTATTGTATATTGCGATGCAGTGTTGGCTTACAGTGGTTCAGAATCCTCGTGCAGCAATTGCTTTGTTGATGATTTGAGTCACAGTATAAAATCAAAGCACTGAATCAATATGCTGCATTTTTGTTTGAGTATTTTTTATTACCTCCCTTTAATTACATGAAATGTTAAATTCGGTAATATCTTTATAAATAATGCTTTTTGGAACTTACAAATTGATAAATCTTAATTTGAGCATCCTGTTTATGATATAAAACCATAAAAAAAATTGTGTTACAGGATCTTTAACCATGTTTACTTTTTATCATTTTTTTAGCTCACCTGTCACAAATTGACAGGGTGAGCTTTTGTGATCGCTATTCGTCCGGCGTCTGTCCGTCCGTAAACTTTTACTTTAAATGACATCTCCTCATAAACCACTGAGCCAATTTCATCCAAACTTCACAGGAATGCTCCTTTGGTGGTCACCTTTAAAAATTATTCAAAGAATTTAATTCCATGCAGAACTCTGGTTGCCATGGCAACCAAAAGAAAAAACTTTATAGCCCTATATGTGTATAGTAAAAACTTAAAAAATCTTCTTTTAAAAAACCCAATGAGCTAGAGCTTAGATGTTTAGCATGAAACATCTTCTTATGGGTGTCTACCAAGTTTGTTCAGATCGTTGTTTTTCATTGGCCCATATGTGTGTAGTAAAAACTTAACATCGTGAAACATCTTCTAATGGGTGTCTTCCAAGTTTGTTCAAATAAAAGCCCTGGGGTTTAACCCTTTACCACATATATACGCGAAACAACGCACTTTCGACCCCCCCCCTTTTTTGGGCCTCAAATAGGAAAAAAATGTCCTATTTGGGCCCCAAACATAAGTTTTCGTTTGAGAAATGTTGCTAAAAAAATTGAGCACTTTTTCGGCGCCGCCCCCCATCCAATAGATACATCAGGGGGTTGCCAGAAGGGGGAAGTGCCCCCTTCTGTTAGGGGGGTTTGAAGGGGGGCGGAGTCCCCCTCATCGCCAATAAAATTTTGGACTTGTGAGAGGCTAAAAATGACCCCAGGTCGATCATAATGTAACGTTTAACCAACGCTGAAAAGCCTTTGACTCTATCTCAATCCCTTGAGAAGTTGCAGCACTTTGAAATAAATTTTGTTGGAAAAAATCGAGGCAAAATAGTGATTTTTGGCAATTTTGAGATGCCCCCTCGTTGCCATGGTAACAGGAAATTTAAGACTGAGCATGTCGTTACAAAGGCAATGGTCCAGTCAACAGTTGTGCCAAGTTTGATTAGTATTGAAGCATTTTTCATAGTTTCATAGCAGTTTGAACTTGTAACAGGAGGCTTTTCAGTGAAAACGGCCATTTTTCACAATATGCTCATGGGGGAAAGGGTTAACTAAAAAAAAATATAAATGTTACAAAACAACAATTTTTCACCAAAATTAGGTAAAGACCACATGTTAACATGGAAAAACTAGTTTTTAGGTGATTCCAAAGTTTTAAATCATTTTTTGTTAACCCTTTACCACATATATACGCGAAACAACGCACTTTCGACCCCCCCCCCTTTTTTGGGCCTCAAATAGGAAAAAAATGTCCTATTTGGGCCCCAAACATAAGTTTTCGTTTGAGAAATGTTGCTAAAAAAATTGAGCACTTTTTCGGCGCCGCCCCCCATCCAATAGATACATCAGGGGGTTGCCAGAAGGGGGATGTGCCCCCTTCTGTTAGGGGGGTTTGAAGGTGGGCGAAGTCCCCCTCATCGCCAAGAAAAATTTTGGACTTGTGAGAGGCTAAAAATGACCCCAGGTCGATCATAATGTAACGTTTAACCAACGCTGAAAAGCCTTTGACTCTATCTCAATCCCTTGAGAAGTTGCAGCACTTTGAAATAAATTTTGATGGAAAAAATCGAGGCAAAATAGTGATTTTTGGCAATTTTGAGATGCCCCCTCGTTGCCATGGTAACAGGAAATTTAAGACTGAGCATGTCGTTACAAAGGCAATGGTCCAGTCAACAGTTGTGCCAAGTTTGATTAGTATTGAAGCATTTTTCATAGTTTCATAGCAGTTTGAACTTGTAACAGGAGGCTTTTCAGTGAAAACGGCCATTTTTCACAATATGCTCATGGGGGAAAGGGTTAAACAGTCCCGCTCTGGGTGCCTTTATACAGGTGAGCGACCTCAGGGCCATCATGGCCCTCTTGTTTTCTAATTTGACATAAAGCATCCTTCAAATGTCTCTGAGTAAGTAACAAATAAAAAAAACCTGAATAAATATAATTTGTTTAATTTGTGTATGATAATATTAAGTACAGATGTATCAGATTTATTATTTTTACAATAATAATAAAACTCCACTAAGGTCCAAAAGACTTAAAATCATAAAATTTTAAATTCTTTCATAGATCAGCTAGGACATTTAAACAGAGAAATATGCAAATGATTATAAAGAATATACTCAGAAACAAATTGAAAATGTATTTTGTGCTTTAATTTTGTTATCTTGATTTTAAGTTTGGGTAATTTATTTAGCCCGACTTTTTGGTCACAGAAAAAAAGGAGTCACTGTCATAGTCTTGAAAAGTCGTTAAACTATAAGGGCAACAGGGGCAAGTTGAGCTTGACTTGCCTTGCTAGTACAAGTTCATTTGAAATATCATTTCTAACCCTGAAAAACAGATGTTTCTGGTGAGCAATTCAGGGCCATCATGGCCCTCTTGTTTTATTATTTCATATTTAAAAAGTACTTGTGTATTGGTAATAGAATTTGATTACATGTTTTTAAATTAGGAGAGGAAAGATACAAGAGGAACTCTGAGCTTGCACCGTTTAATACCATAAAAGAAGGTCGTTGCCCATATACTGATGATGAATGGAAACAGTTTAGAATCAGTTGGAATTGCTCAAGTGCAAGAGAAGGGTCAACATATCATTGTACACATTATAATGATTATGAAGACCCCAGAGAAGCTTGTGGAATTCCTCAGTTTTGTGATAAAGGTATTTTATCCTGAGATATAGAAACTAAAAAAATATGCATAAATTTGTAGTATAAGAAGTTTTTAGGTAAGACTATTTGTTTGTTATAGATTATTCAATATTCCATGGAATTAGTTATATATACTAATAAAGTAAGTGTTGCATATTTTGAGCCATTTAACACAACTTTAGAGGATATTCTATTAAAGTGCATAAAGCTTGCTGGATTTACTTGTATCAATTTTAATTTTGGTAAAATATTATAGAAATATGGACTTTTTAGCTGTTGAATATGATGTGATATGTACTTAAAAAATTAATATATCGCCTCGGTCAATACTAATTTTTCAGTACATATCACATCATATTTAACAGCAAAATAGCATATATGGCATTTAGTGATGTTTCCTTCAAAATATACTTGTGTGTACAATATACTTGCTTTCACAACTCAATTTTAATTAATATCCTTTTACTTTTTTCTTCAGGGAAAGGGCCTGTTATTGTGTTTCCAGAAGGGCATTCAAAGGTAGCAGAAATAAAATGTGACTGGTGTCCAGAAGATTATTTTAATCCTTTAGAATCAATAAAGTCAGATCAGTATTCTACATGCCCAGAAGTTCGACACAAATGTACAGATAGAGGCCTTGTAGAGTGTGATATAGTGAAAGGTGTGAAATGGTATTGGACTGACTCAAAATGTGAATGTGATATAAATAACAATTTTTTTCCTCCATATAAAGAGAAAAATAAATGTTCCGACCACAGCGGGCCCTGTTTCGAGGACTCAGCATGTGAGAAGTCACCAGAGGGATTTGATCAAATATACAACTTTTCTGTGTCAGAAGGTAAGATGTTATTTAAGATTTTATAGGAGGTCAATTGCCTAAAAATACTACATTTTGTTATCAATGTATCAAGCATACATATCAGTATGCCATATTTTTGAGTTTTGAACGTTTGTATTATACATAACACATTTAAAGTAACTAATGTGGTTTTTTTTGTTTTGTTTTTAGCTCACCTTGTCACTTTGTGACTATCTAAGAGCAGTAGGGGGCCATATGTAACTGTAAACAGCACTAAAGAGAACAATAAAGTTCATTCCGTAACAATAGAATAAGGAGCCACGGCCCTCTGTTAAAGAAAATAACAAAAGAAATGGCCCCTTAGTCCATTTAAATGGCATGTCCGTACGTTAACTTTTACTTAAACAACATCTCCTCTTAAACCAATTAGCCAATTTCATCCAAACTTCACAGGATTGTTCCTTTGGTAGCCACCTTTGAAAATTATTCCAAGAATTTAATTGCATGCAGACCTCTGGTTGCCATGGCAACAGAAAGAAAAAAATTAAAAAATCTTTTAAAAAACCTTAAGAGCTAGAGCTTAGATATTTGGCATGGAGCATCTTTTAGTGACTGTCTACCAGGTTTATTCAATTAAAAGCACTTGGGTCATTGATTTTTCCTAATACATGTATGTCTATAGTAAAATCTTAAGAATTCATCGTTTAAAACCCAAAAGAGCTAGAGCTTGAATAATAAGCATGAAATGTCTTTCAGTGATTGTCTACCAAGTTTATTCAAATAAAAGCCCTGAGGTCAAAATTGGCCCCGCCTCAGGGGTTATTTATTTTCCATATATGTATATATTAAAATCTTAAAAAATTTCATTTAAAAAAACCTAAAGAGTTAGGGCTTAGGTATTACACATCAAACATCCTCTAGAGATTGTCTACAAAGTTTGTTCAAATAAAAGCCCTTGGGTTAAAATTGTCCCCACCAGGGGTCATTTATTTTCCTTAGATGTATGTATTAAAGACTTAAAAATCCTCTTTTCAAAAACCCAAAGAGTTAAAGCTTTGTTATCAAGCATGAAATATATTTTTGTGGGTGTCTACCAAGTTTGTTCAAATAAAAGCCCTGGGGTCAAAATTGGCCCCTCCCAAGGCAGTTATTGATTTTCTTAATATGTACACTCCTTTTGAAGTGTTGTTTTCCCTTAGTTATAGCAACCAGTAATGTTTTTACACATGCACTATTTCAGATACAAATATGAACTTTGTGATATGAGTTTTAAGATTTAGATTTTTTATCTGCTTTTGTTTAAAGTTTACTATATAACTTGTTCCTTGTCAGGGAGAGATGGGTGATTTCAGGGCCATCACCGCCCTCTTGGTTTTTGTTTTACACTAAATTTGCCTTATGCCTAAATAACCTGATGAATAGTACTTACAATTCAATGGAGAAAATAGTAGTATATTATCTTGCCTCTTATAAAATTCATGTTGCATGATAAAGAATTCAATGGTCAGTTACTATTCAATCTTAATTGATATTCATTTAGATAATGATTTAATTTCAGGGAAATATGTGTGTCAACCAGGATGCAAAGAAGGCTTTGAGTTTAAAACCCCACAATCTAAAAAGTGTGAACCTGTACAAAGGAATGATGGGTAATTATGTTTTTATTTTTATTTATACTCATTGACAAAAAAGTTGTAAAATATTGTACTTTTTTAATTGAATATAAGATGATAATGTGCTAAAGAATCAAATACAGTAGAACTTCGGTGAGTCGAAGTTGGAGGGACTTGCGTAAAAACTGCGACACATCGGGACTTCGAATCATGAATCGGTCTGAATTTCATGACAAAATTTCAACATGTGACTAGTCCTAGTTCTAAGATCTATAACGTAACCTATTTCATGTTTTTTCTTTCATTCATTAATCTGATATTTTACATTATACAATGATAAATATGACATGTTAAATAACTTTTCAGGGCTAATGATTTGATCTACCTGTTGACGTATACAATAAAGTTACAAAGGCGTAACGATACGAAAGGGCAATAACTAAATCAGTTTATAGTAAATATTTTGCGTGTGATTATCACGCAACACCGGGTCACGAAAGTACTCAAATGTTAGTTCTTACTTTTTACATGTACTTTCAAATACCGCTACGGAAATTAAAATAGTAACAATTAAAGCATTTTTTCACATATTTTAACGCATACAAAGGCTGTTTGAACACTCGGCTGTGTAATAAACAACTGTCACTAAAAATGATCGGAAATCGTCTTCGCGGCCAGAAAAGGTGTGAAAAATGTTTCGAGATCGAAGGTGTCAATATAATTGAAGGACTTTGATCTATTTGTGGTAAATTGAACTAGATTTATTCTATATGGACCACGAAAAAACTTCGACACATCGAAAAATTCGACACATAAAATCTCGACTCATTAATAGGTTTTTATAAGGAAGATATAAGGAAAAAAATCGGGACTTTCATTTTACTTCGACACATCGAGAAAATCGACTAATCAAAGTTCGACTCATAGAAGTTCTACTGTATGATGAAATTTTTAAGAAACTTTTGCGATACCATGCATTATTACAGAAGAAAGAAAAACACAAGACAATATATATTCAATACATTGTTATTTGGTTTCAGTACCTTATCGAATTCCTAATCGGCCACTATATAAAATATGATATTTTGTCAGGTACTTAAACAATAAATCTAAGGTATGGTAATTCTTAAGTATTGTTCACACTTACCAAACAATTAAATGAAAGATGCTATGTATTTGTACTCCAAATATTATTATAAAAAGCATATCCACGTTCGCTCCTCCTGTACATCAAGGGATTCTTGAAAAACGGAAAACATTGCAAAAAAGCTTGATGTACAAAATGCAGCAAATAGAATATTTCCTGCCTGCATCTTGTTTTGTGAAACTTTGTTGTATAAGATGTACCATTTTCCTCAAAATTAACAGTTGCTTTGACCTTTGGCTCCGTAAATGACCTAGTTGATGTTGGGCACAGAGCCAAAGTTCAAGGTCACATTTACCTTGTAATTCAAAATGGTTTCCCACCAATAACTCAACATCACATGGGCCCTTGGCCCTCATTAAACTTAATAGATGCATTGGTCTTTGCAATGATTTTAGGATGCATGGTCAAAGGTCAAGGTTATATTGACCCAGTATGTCAAAATGATTTCCAACCAATAACCTGAAAACCAATGGGCCCTTGGCCCTCAAACTTCAGGTACAAGTTCTTGTTTTGGCCATTCAAAGTTTACTAACTCTTCTGCTGATGCCCTGTTCCTTTCTATAACATGCACATATCAAAGGGAAGAGAATAGGGCTATAATATTTTGCCTTTGTGTTGAAGATCAGATGTAGATATGAATATTAAATCATGTTACATGACCTTAATCTTAATCATATGCCTGCATTTCATTCATTGTTAACAAATATGAATTGTTTCTTCTTATTTAAGTTCAAGTGAGCAGTATATGGTCATCATTGCACTTTTGTAACATAACATACTTATTACAAAAATTAATTTGAACATAATAATATTTCAAAGAACCAAATGAAACCCATGGTAAGTGCTTTACTGAATGTTCCTTTTTAATTGCACCCATTGTAATAAATAGGTGAGCTAGTTTTTTAGAATAATGATTTTGTCATGAATTTTTTTTTAATTATAAACTTCACAGATGAATTTTTTATTTTTTTATAATTGTCACTTCACTGTTGAACTATCTTTGAAAGGTATTACAGTTAATTGTAGATCTGAATGGAAATTTACTATAAAGTTTGCAAGAAGTTTTGGGATTTTAATTTAGTTTTCAAAGTGAACTTTATGATGTCATGATTGGATGATGACTGTAAAGAATACTCCATAAATGTAGCAAACATTTGAGGAAGCACAGTCATTAAATCATTGAATGTGTATGAAAATAATGAAGAAAAAAAATAACTCCAGTATTTTGGCTCATGGCAATACTACTCATAAATAATTTTTAAGTTCCCTATTTGATATTTATTTAAATCTCACGCTTTTACAAACTGCTTAAATAGAGATTGGAAATTCATTCATTGAATGCACATTTTATGCAAATGGGTCTTCATCAAAATAAGTATGCACCAACTTAAAATGCTGGAAATGAAGTCTGGCAGTCATAGAGGAAGATAGGGCTGCAAAAATTGTGCACTATGATCACATTCTAGCTATCTTGTAGGCTGACAAGCGTTTGGGATTAGCTGTTTTATTCATAAAACAATTACATCAGGGTGCTATTATTGGAATATACAGTAGTTTATATGCCTTTTTTATTGTAACATTCATTTATCACATAATACGCGGCGCAGGAGTGTAATAAAGCCATTTAATAAAAACGATATTACACTAGTGTAATAACACTTTGACGTGACGTCATTTGCGCTGTATATATACATAGCGTTAAAGCGCGCTAATGTTAGCGTTACACTACAGGCGCGTCATTGAAAAATTACTCATTTTAACAGTTTACTGTTCTTATTTTATATATGTGATAAATAGAATATTTTATTATATACTTATAAATGAAATATTGAGAAATATTGATGAAATAAAATGTGTATTTTCAGTTTCCGTATTTTCACTGAAAAAATTTATTTTTCACTGCAGTGAAACATATTTTCCGTATTTTCACTGGTGTCTTGCCGGACTACTTTCTTTTAAATTCTGCCAGTACACAAAATTTAAGGGAAAGTCTTTCAAATTTTAATGTCAAAAATGAGAAAAATGTATATAATAAACAGAAAATTCAAGTTTTTTTCATAAATACATGATGTATTTTCATATTGTGGCATGAAAATTACCATATTTCACTCGTGGCTACCGCCACTCATGAAATATTTATTTTCATACCACTCGATGAAAATAAATCATGTATTTATAGAAAAAACTTGAATATCCTCTATATATTCGTGTAGATTCAATACTAAATTTATTAAACTCGTTGAATAAAACAATATTATGCTCGCCAGAGGCTCGCATAATATGATTTTATTCAACTCGTTTAATAAATTTAGTATTAAACTACACTCATTCAATATCCTCTATTTATCACACACCCGTGCCGATTTTGCGACTCCGTAAATATGGTATTGCACGGCCGTGCATATATTTTGACGTGACGTCATTAGCGTTATACAAACATAGTGTAAAGACGCGCTAAATGTTAGTGTTATACTATAGGCGCGTCAATGAAAAATGACTCTTATTTCACTTCAAACGGTCTTTATTTTGGGTATGTGATAAATAGAATATTAAATTCGTGTAAGTTCATTACTGAATTTATTGCACTCGTTGAATAAAATAATATTATGCTCGCCAGAGGCTCGCATAATATGATTTTATTCAACTCGTGCAATAAATTCAGTATTAAACTTACACTCATTCAATATCCTCTATTTATGCATGACTGTTATCTTCCATTCTTTGTTTTTAATGTTGCTTTTGTTTGGGCCAATTTAGGTTAAAGTTTATTAAGTTAATGTCACATAAAACATAGGGCTGTATGACTAAAATAAAAGGCTTAGTTATGCATAATGGTTAGTGAAAATGATACTGTGCAAAGCTACTTTAATTTAAATTTCTAGCTTGGATTCTTTTTCGAAGAAAAAATAGAGGTATTGTACAGTCATGAGGCGGCATTCGCGTTGCTGTCCGCAAACTTTATCATAGCTTTGTAAGTTCTTTGTGTATTGTCTTCATATTTGGCTACAACAACTCTTGGGACAAAACCTTCAAAGTTAACCAGACTTAACTTGACCTTCATTCATAAATGACCTTGACCTTCAAGGTCAGATGTTTAAAATTTGCTTATTTTTTGCTGTAAGTGGCTATAAATTTGTTATTTTTGAATGGATTGTTGTCAAACTTGAGCATAACACTCTTTTTGAATGGACCTTTAAATTAACCAGGCAGAATATAACCTTCATTCATAAATAACCTTGACCTTGAAGGTCATATTATTTAAATTTTAAAATTTATGCTGTAACTGGCTATAACTTTGTTATTTGTGAATGGATTAACTTCATATTAAGACACCACATTTATAGGATTGACCTTCATGGATATTACACTCAACTTGTACTTGGCTCATTCATGACCTTGACCTTGAAGGTTAAGTTATTGAGTTTTCAGTGATTCTTGCTGTTACTTAATTGGCTGTTACTTTGTAATCAGTGTATTATCTTCATTATACGTGGACAAAACAACCTTTTGGACAAGATTGTCTAAAAAGTTGAAGTAGCCTTGAGTTTTAAATGACATTGTCCTTCAAGATCTAATAATTGATTTTGATTAAATTATCAAAATTATGTTGTTTATGTACAAACTTTATTCATACGTGGACAAAGCAACACTTGTTACAAAATGGAGATGTTGTATACTTTAAAATGACCTTGACCTTTAAATGACATTGACTGTCAAATAATTGAGTTCTGCTAATAATTTCTTAACTTTCTCATTTATTCATGGAAGTGGTTTATATTTGGACAAAACAACAACTAAAATTAAAAAACAACAACAAAAAAAATAATGGATTTTTTTTAACCCTTTACTTGCTTAAATACAAAATTTAGAAAAAAGTTAAAAAGTCAAGCAATTTGTCCCCCACCCGGCAGTGGCTCTTTTCATGCTTCCTGTAAAAGGTTTTTGGAAGATTTGTATTTAATTGTCAGCATGTCTAGGTATCAGGTATGATGGTTTGAGACTTTAGAAATATTACTACATTACTACTCACTATGTAGAAAATTGTTATGGGTTCACAGGTGCATTATTTTATTTTGTATGTTTCCCTGTAGACATCCAAATACCTTTTAAGAGGCATCAGTTAGTTACATAACTTAAATTTGCTTGTGAATATTTTATTTGTTGTAAATTGTGTTTCCTAGTATGGTGATTGTTCATGATAACCATTGTATATTGTACTGTTTCTTTATCAGACCCATGAACACTTGTCAGGGTGAGCTATTAGTATCAAAGGGGGATGCTCCAGCGTCCTTCGTCTGTCGTCATGCGTCAACAATCGTCTTCTTCTCTAAAACTACTAAGCAGATTTACTTCAAATTTGGTCTGTAGCATGCTTGTGACAGTCACACTTGAATTATTTTGCTCATGTCATTGCAATTGGCCTCTTTAAGGGGTCAGCAGAGCTAAAAATAGAAAAACCTTTAAACATCTTCTTCTACAGAACTAATTGATAGATGATCACCAAACTTTGTCTGTAGCATTCTTGGGTAGTCTTTTATCAAGTTTGCTCATATAAATTTGATTGCTAAAGCTTAAAATAGAAAAAAAATCCTTTAAACATCTTCTACTAAACCAATAAATGGATGATCACCAAACTTTGTCTGTAGCATTCTAAGGTAGTCTCTTTTATCAAGTTTGCTCATATTAATTTGATTAGCCCCATTTAAGCTAAAGCTTAAATAACCAGGTCATTGCATTTCTTCAAATTATTGTTCAAACATATTTTATGCTCAAATTTGATATTAGAATATATTGACATTCCATCACTGAAAAGCAGTTGTTTCTGGTGAGCGCCTCAGGGCCATCATGGCCCTCTTGTATCTAAATAGTTTGGAAACAGATGGATGTTTCCAACTTTAGGAGCACTAGATAGAAGCTGTGGTAAACAATGTTCCATCAGTAACAGATATGTTTTTTTTTTTTTTTTTTAAAAACCATAAAAGCCTTTCAAATGTCTCTCTCACTTAATGTGTAAGTATTGTCCATAGTTTTATCCTTTACATGTGAATATGAATTGAGTTATTGAAGAAACAAAAGATTGACATTTATTTGACTTTTAAAATGCATGTTGATTTACAATTTTCTCTACAAATCTTTGAAATGGCATACATGTACAAGCTATTGCTTAACTTATAACTCACCTTAAACCTTTAAGAATAATCACACTATTATTATGGCTGCTATGGAAATGAAAATTGATAACACTGCATGTTTGTCATGTCACTCTTCATTGTTGCAGAACTATTGTGACAGTTTATATTGTGACAGCTTCATTTTATATGCCCGAAAGAATTTCGGGCATATTATGTTATACCCCCTGGCGTCCGTCCCTCTGTCTGTCTGTCCATCGGTCCGTTAGCAATTTGGTTTCCGGAGCATAACTTAAGTTCCATTTGGCCCACAGTAATCAAATTTCATAGGATGATTGTCCATATTGGGCAGAAGAGCCCTATTGATTTTGGGGTCACACGGTCAAAGGTCTAGGTCACTATTACCCTAACACTGAAAATGGTTTTTTGAGCATAACTTAAGTTCTATTTGGTCCACAGTATTTGATTGTCCATATTGGGTAGAAGACCCCTATTGATTTTGGGGGTCACAAGGTCAAAGGTCAAGGTCACTATTACCTTAAAACTGAAAATGGTTTCCGGAGCATAACTTAAGTTCTATTTGGCCCACAGCATTCAGACTTCATAGTATGATTGTCCATATTGGGTAGAACACCCCTAGTGATTTTGGGGCTACAAGGTCAAAGGTCAAGGTCACTATTACCTTAAAACTAAAAATGGTTTCCGGAGCATAACTTAAGTTCCATTTGGCCCACAGTATTCAAACTTCATAGGATGATTGTCCATATTGGGTAGAAGACCCCTATTGATTTTGGGGTCACAAGGTCAAAGGTAAAGGTCACTATTACCTTAAAACTGAAAACAGTTTCCGCTCAATAACTTAAGTATTAATCAACCTACAGCTGTAAAATTTTATAGGATGAACAGCCATGTCCAATTCATGACCCCTATTGATTTTAGGGTCATAAGGTCAAAGGTCAGGGTCACAATGATCTTTACACTGAAAGTTGTGGTTTCTGGAGCATAACTACAACTTGATGGTGGTGCTTTGAAAACAGCAACTGTATATATATGAAGGTTCTTCAGCTATAAAGGAGGATTGCTTTTTGAAGGAGGTAATACTGTATTTCATTCCCATGTCTTACAAATGTTTCATCCTTATTAACAAAAAAAAAACACTTTTAGGCATATAATGCTCGGCCTTGCGGTGCTCTTGTTATATATTGTTGATATGTTAATGTTTATTTTTTTGTTTAAGTCTCATCTATACATATAAATATAGATATAAAAAAATGCAATACAAACATAAAATACATGTATAGCCATTCTAAATAGAATTACAGGAAATGGTTTACTTCTAAGGGTGACAACTCCTCAGTCCATAACTTAGAAGTATTTTATGCACTGCAGATTTATCACCCTTAGCTACATACATTTCCTGCACAACAAAATATTTGTTTTTCACTTAAATATGATATCAGTTTATAATTAAAAGCAACTTTCATTTTTCTTAAATGTAGAATTTTACATGTAGATACAATTGTTATAAAAATTTAACAGGTTACATTCAACCATTATAAACATTAACATTTCGTATATGCTGACAAAGCCTTGGTCTTTAAGTGATGGTCATATTGCAAATTTGTAAAACAAATAAAAGTAAAAAAGATAATATTTTTAGAAAATCATTCAGTATTTATCTAAGCTAAATAATTATTAAAGTCAATTTGGAAAAAAAAAAATTAAGGAATATTTTAGATATATTTTAGCAGTTTTCAAGCCTTAGGTACGTGATAATAGGTTTTTCATTATACCCCCAAAACAAAGTTTTGGGGGTATATAGGAGTCACTCGGTGGTAGGTCACTTGGTCGGTCCAGCCGTCCGTTGCATTTTCCTAGTCCGGAGCATAACTTAAAGACTAATGATTGGAATTCAATACATCTTCATACAATGGTCAAGCACATTGAGAAGAAGTGCAGTGCACAAAAACCATATTTTATCTTCACTAATTACAGAGTTATTGCCCTTTGTTACTTTTCCTTGTCCGGAGCATAACTTGTAAAGTAATGGTTGGAATTCAATACAACTTCATACAATGGTCAAGCGCAATGAGAGGAAGTGCAGTGTACAAAACCATAACTCCATCTTCAGTATTTGTAGATTATTGCCCTTTGTTACTTTTCCTTGTCAGGTGCATAACTTTAAAAACAAATGTTTAGAATTCAATGAAAATTCATTCAATGTCCAAGCGCAATGAGTGGAAGTGCAGTGCTCAAGAAGCGTAACTCTTTTTGGACTTACTACAGAGTAATTCAATAAAACTTCATCAATGGTCAACCACATTCAAAGGAAATGCAACATACAAGAAACACAACTATCTTTTATTGCCCGCAACCATAACCATAACTTTATTTTAGTTCTTTTGCAAGGTATTCTGTTACTAGTTACTTCCTCATTTCCGAAGCAGTCTTGCGGGACTATTAATCACATTTAGTGATAGTTCTAGTTTCTAATGAAAAAAGATAGATGACAAAAATATGAAATTTTGATAGCTTATTGAATTGCAATACATTTATTAAAGAAGATAAAATTTGAATAATGGTGATTATAAGATGTTGTCATAAAATGCATTATTGTTTCAGCAACAGTACGACATTTAATAATGAGACAACAATTTATGATAGCAGCTCATTTAGCCCAACAAAGCCCGAAAGCACCACCACCACAAGTTTTTTACCAACAACAAAAACCATGCATGATGAAGGTTTGACTTTATTCATTATTACCTTGACCATATTTGGATTGTCAAGGTCAAATGTGACATTTTGATTAAATTTTAGACAAGAAATTGCCATTTTCTTTGAAACTTGGAAATTTTTTTTTTACAAAACTCTTTTGATATTATATATTTAAAAAAGTTAAGTATGGCTTTTGTCTAGTTGTTAAATTGACAAAAAGCTTACTTAAAAAAATACAGAAACTTTACTTAAAAAATCCAGAGAAAAGGAACTCTAATGTAACCAAAGTAGAAAAGAAGTGTCCAAGAGCTTAGATATTTGTCAGGAAATATTTTTGACGTTTATAAAATTTTAGGGCCTTTGGCAATCATAAATATTTAGATGTGCTGTCATCCAGTGAAGAACAGGTGTTTAACTTGTTAGGTGTTAAAAACGTATTTTAAATGACAACTCTGGATAAAATACTCTTGATTTTTTGGTGAAAGTTAATATATAATTAATGGTGATGCTGTTCAAAATTAAAAACATTTAGCTTCATTATGAAAATATTTTTACAGAAGGAGATGTTGACTTTTCTATGGGGACGATAATATGCATTGTAATTGCAGCTGTTTTAGGTAATGTATTTAAAGTATATTATTAAGATGTATATTTTGAATTTTATAATAACAGTTGAAATAATAAAATATTATGCAGATGGTACACTTCAAGTACATTTAGAAATTGAAACATTCTGAACTTATATGAACCAAATATTTATTATTTATTTATTGTACAATATATTATAACCCTATTGGTGATTAACCCATTACTTGAAAGACATGAGCATTTTGTGAAAAATGGCTGTTTTCAATGAAAAGTCTCCCGTTACAAGTTGAAATTGATATAAAACTTTAAAAACTGCTTCAATACTAATCAAACTTGGCACAAATGTTAACTGGACCATTGCCTTTGCAACAACATGCTCAAGCTTAAATTTTCTGTTACCATGGCAACAAGGGGGCATCTCAAAATTGCTAAATTCCACTATTTTGTATTGATTTTTGTGTCGCCTCTACGGACTACGGAGTAGTGGCGACATATAGGGATCACTTCTCCGTCATCTGTCTGTCCGTCTGTCTGTCCGTCTGTCCGTCACAAAACTTGTCCGGACTACTCCTCATAAACAACTGGTGCAATTTCATCCAAACTTTACAGGAATGATCAGTATCAAGTCTAGTTGTGCATGTTGTCGGCATTTTCCGGTTCAATGATTTTTCTCAGAGTTATGGCCCTTTAATAATTTTTAATTTTAAAGTTTGTCCGGACTACTTCTCTTATACCACTAATGCAATTTCAATGAAACTTTACAGGATAGATCTGTAGCTCAAGTCCTTGCGCATATTGCACGGGTTTTCCGGTTGAATGATTTTTGGCCGAGTTATGGCCCTTTGATAAAAAGGTGTTTTTTTCTGTGTGTTGCCAGATACACAAAAGCTTGTCCAGACTACTCCTCATAAACTACTGGTGCAATTTCATCCAAACTTTACAGGAATGATCAGTACCAAGTCTAGTTGTGCATATTATCAGCATTTTCCGGTTCAATGATTTTTCTTAGAGTTATGGCCCTTTAATAATTTTTATTTTTAAAGTTTGTCCGGACTACTTCTCTTATACCACTAATGCAATTTCAATGAAACTTCACAGGATTGGTCTGTAGCTCAAGTTCTTGCTCATATTGCACAGGTTTTCTGGTTGAATGATTTTTGGCCGAGTTATGGCCCTTTGATAAAAAGGTGTTTTTTTCTGTGTGTTGCCAGATACGCAAAACCTTGTCCGGACTACTCCTCATAAACTACTGGTGCAATTTTATCCAAACTTTTCAGGAATGATCAGTACCAAGTCTATTTGTGCACTGTCCGTCTGTCTGTCTGTCTGTCACAAAATTTGTCCCAACATGAAATTGGCCATCATGAGGCGACACATGTGATTACTGATCGCTCTTGTTTTCCATCAAAATTGATTTCAAAGTGCTGCAATTTCTCAATGGATTGATATAGAGTCAAATGCTTTTCAGCGTTGGTTACACGTTACCTTATGATCGATCTTGGGTCATTTTTAGCCTCTCACAATTCCAAAATTTTCTTGGCGATGAGGGGGATTGCCGCCCCCTTCAAACCCCCCCAAAAAGAAGTGGGCACATCCCCCTTCTGGCAACCCCTGATGTATCTTTTGTTTGGGGGGCCGCGCCAAAAAAGTGGCCAACTTTTTAAGCAACATTTCTCAAACAAAAACAAGTGTTGAGGGCCTAAATAAGGCATTTTTTCACCATTTGAGACAACAGAAAGGGGGGTGAAAAGGCGTTTAAAGGCGTGTATATCACGTAATGGGTAATCAAGGTCACTGTTACTAGAAATGGTTTCTGGTCAAAAGGTAGAGTTAGAAATGAGATATTGTAATCAAACTTGGAATATAACAAAATGGAGAAAAACAGAATCCCTGAAGAAAGCCAAAAAAGACAAAATAGAAAATGTTGCATACTGTTTGATTGTGCCTGTAAGGTTATGCAGAGACCTGGCTTGGGATTGATTTTGGACTCCCTAGGGTCAATGATTCTACTAAGTATATGTATGTTTAAATTATTGACGTTTTGTCAAAATTGGCCCTGTCCATTGGGGTCATGGCTTTTTCTTTTATAGTAAATGCCTAAAAATATCCTTCCTAAAAACTGCAAGGGCATATCTTAGGTATTGAACATTGTCAAAGGCACGGGGGAGGAAGTGTTACACGAAAGATGGAGTTCTAATGATAACTTGTTCAGGAATTCTTGTGATAACTGTCCCAGAGTTCGTCGGAAAACATCTGTATATACTATAAAACACCTCTTAAAAATGATCATTTTCATCTTTCAAAAATGAGTTTTAGGTGCTAAATTAAACTTTAATAATTAAGCTTGTCTTACATCTTGTATTATGTGTCAAAAACTAATTCACAGGCCATTTTTCATACCCTCTGGCTTCAAATCTGGTAGTTTTTCAGTAAAATTTCCAAATTACTTACCAATTCACAAGTTTTGACCGGTTTATTTGTGGTCTTCATCCTTGCCATACATAATTATCTAATTATAATGCAAAATTGCAAGCATAAAGCACCGACTAACAGATTTATACCCGATTTTTCAAATGTCCCGGAGTTCTTGTGATAAGTCTGAAGATGTCACAAAGTTCTTATGATGACTTTTGTTATTGCCAGTATGTTTCTTGCGCTAAATTACGGTATGTTTAAGCGTTTATTATTATTCAATGAGATTGTAAATCATTATGAAATGAAGTACGGTCATTCTTTGGGCAAAAAATAGGATATAAAACATTGGTTTCAAGTGAATTTTAGTTCAAGAGATATTATTTCTTACCCCCGTTTCTTTTTCATAGTACTTTTTTTTGGACACAGATTTCGTAGACTGGAAAAATGATTTATGTACTGGTTTCCTAGCAGTTTCCGGCTCCTAGCAGTATTCTGGCCCTTTATCATTTTCATCCTGACATACAGACTTTTTTCAGTTAAGCATCTATGTTACTGCATCAATCAGAGAAACATTTGTTTTCTGTTATAATAGTACAGTGATTAATATGTTTTAAAGTTTTGTCTGTTGTTTTAAGTTACATAAGAGAACTTGCGACACTTACAAGCAACACCTGGGGAATTCTAGTTTGAATGCCCATGCAAAATAACTGAAATCCCATTCTAGGTAAATCACTACTTTTAAACAATATATTTGAAGACGACACGGAAAAGTTTGGGTAGTTATATCTATTTAAAAAAACCAAGCTTAACATTGCTTATTGGTATTGCATTATATTCGAAATAAAAAAGGTCCGAAAAACTGCTATGAAATTTTGAATAAATGTGAGCAAAGGTGTTACATCTCAGGCCTTTATTCCATTAAAATGTAAAATAAAAGAGCAACATTAAAACATAGTAATGCTGGACAGATACCTAACTTGGTTCTGTCAAAGTTTGCACTCTTCGGTAGACAGATTTTTTTTTTGTTAAAGCATGCCTAAATATTGTCTGCTTAAGACAGATGATTGCTTAAAACATGTGAAACTGAGAACAACGTGTACGTTTTGAGACATTTTTGTATTGTGGTTTAAGCCATTATACTGCTGAATATCAGTGGCCGCTGGTTCAATTTTTACTGTAGATGATAGCCTATCACCTATTTATCCTTTGCAGACACTTAACACCAACGTACATGTATTATCCACATTTTTGTGCAAAGGATGATCGTACTGCATTTCATAATGATTTACAACCTTATTGAATAATAATAAACGCTAAAACGTACCGTGATTTAGCGCAAGAAACACACTGGCAATAACAAAAGTTATCATAAGAACTTTGTGACATCTTCAGAGTTAGGATGAAGGGTCAAAACTTGTGAATAGGCAAGTAATTTGGAAATTTTACTGAAAAACTACCAGATTTGAAGCAAGAGGCGATGAAAAATGGCCTGTGTATTAGGCTTTAACACGTAATACAAGATGTAAGACAAGCTTAATCATTAAAGTTTATTTTAGCACCTAAAACTCATTTTTGAACGATGAAAATAACCATTTTTGACGAGTGTTTTTGTAGTATATACAGATGTTTTCCAACGCACTTCGGGACAGTTATCACAAGAACTCCTGAACAAGTTATCATAGGAACTCCATCCTTCGTGTAACACTTCCTCCCCCGTGAGAGGGACCTCAACAAAAATCCAAATTATGGCCAAATGGGCTCCTCACCGGGGGATCATAGATTGAATGTGACTTCTCATAGCAACCAGTGACTTTCCATAGCAACAACTGACTACATAACAACCATTGACTTATATTGGACCATAGACATCTTTAGCAGTCAATGACTTTCATTAGCATCCAGTGACCTCTTAAGCATCCAGTAACATTCTTTAGAACCAGTGTTTTCCATGGCAACCATTGACTATTCATAGCAACCAGTGACCAATATTGCAAGCAATGACTTTCTATAGGAACCATTGACTTCCATAGCAACCACTTACTTTCCATACCAACAAGTGCCTTCCATAGCAACCAAAAACTTTCATAGCAACAGGTGACTTCCCGTAGCAACCAATAACACAAATAATAATTATTAAATTTTCATAGCAGCCATAGGCTTTTTTAGCACTCAGTGACTTTCCAAAGCATCCAGTGACTTACCATAGCAACAATTGACTTTCTATAGCAACCATTGCATTTTCATAGCAACCATTGACATTATATTGCAACCAGTAACCAATATTGAAACCATTTACTTTTCTTAGGAACCATTGAATTCCAAAGTGGCCATTGACTTTTATAACAACCATAGTCTTTGCATATTTACCAGTTACAATTGCAACACTTAACTTTTATATCAACCAGTAACTTTCTATAGCAACCATAGCCACTGCATATCAAGATTGAATTTCCATAGCAATCATTGACTTTTTATAGCAACCAGTGCCATTCCATGACAACCATTGACATTCCATAGGAACAATTTTATTTACCAATATTGCAACAATTAAATTTCCATAGCAACTGGTGACTTCATAGCAACGCAAGCTTTTATATTCCCAGAATTATCTCTATTTAATTTTTAGTTAGAATTTATTTGCAAATTGATTTTCAGTATTTTCTTTGTTATTATAAATGCTATCTACTCATGACTTAAGATATATAATTGTTCTTTGTCATTAATCAAGGTTCATAACTAGCATCTTTTTCCAGAGTTATTTCCTCTTTGAACTTATAATTTTACTTTAAAAACTTCAAATAATTTTTGCTCTTATCATTTTGTATTTGAAGGAATTGAATTGCTGTCTTTTCCATTAAAGCATTGAAATGTCTGTTTGACATTTATTGACAAGATCATATGCATATTATGTTGTGCAAAAATATAGAACATTTGAGTGCTTTCTTGATACTAATAAAGACATATATTTATACCATTCATAGTTTTGTCTTCCTAACTGTGTGCAGTATTAAATTAATCGAGCTTGGCTGTCTCATGTGACAGCTCTTGTTGTTTGAGTTATGGCCATTTAATAATTAACCAGGTTTTCAACGACCGGGTTATTGTAATGCAGGCGGGCGGGCGGGCGTCAACTTTTGGTTTCCGCTCAATAACTTTAGTTTGCTTTGGCCTATTGACACAAAACTTGATGTATAGGTAGCTTATATCAAGAGGCAGCTTTGGATTGCTACCCAGGTGTCTGTGATCAAGGTCAAGGTCACTGTTACTAAAAATAAGAAATTCAGTTTCCGCTCAATAACTTAAGTTTGTTTTGGCCTATTGACACCAAACTTGGTGTATGGATAGCTTATATCAAATGGCAGCTTGGGATTGCTACCCAGGTGTCTGTGATCAAGGTTAATGTCACTGTTATTAAAATAGAAATCCAATATGACCTGATTACTCAAATTATTGCCATTTCTGAGATGAGTGATCCAGGGACATTATAATATTCAGACAGATAGACCACTTGTCTACAGGAGGTATTGTTACATTGTATTTGTGTCAAATAATGTTGTGTTAAAATAACTTGTTTCTTTGTTATTTCAGGATTTGTCTTGATATACGTTGTCATCGGTCTTTGCAACTATATATATATAAGAAGAGCATCTAGTAATAGTAAGTTTGTTTCACAATTTCACACTGCATACTAGTAATTAAGTTTCATAAAATACTGAAATCTATGACTAAGCAATAAAAAATTTAATGTTATGAAGGTAAGAATGAATATGGGCATGATATTGGTATAAAAGTTTTAAAACGAAAATTGTAGTATACCATACTACAAGACTTAGCATCAGGAAAAAATGGAAGGAATTTAGATTAATCCCTAGAATTTAGCTATTTATGATGAAACATCTTCTAGCAGATGCCACCAAGTTTGCTCCTTGTGTTAAAATTGGCCCCCCCTAGGTTAAAACAAAAAAAGTTTTCTTTAAAGCACCAAAAGAGCCAGAGCATAAATAGTTTGCATAAAACATATTCTAGTGGGTGTCTACCAAGTTTCTTCTTATAAAAACCCTGGGGTCAAAACTGGCTGTTCAAGGGAGTCATTGATTTTCTTATACGTATATAGTAAGAAGAAAAAAGGCCCTCTTCTATAATTTTATACAGGCTTTAACTTAGACATTTGATATGAATCATTGTCTGGTGGACCTCTACAAAAATTTATAAATTATAGTCTGCTCATCAAAATTGACTGGCTCTGAGGAACATAGATTTTCCTTATAATTATGTATTAAGTAAAACATTTTAAGATATTCTTCTCTAAATCTACAAGAGCTAAAGCTAAATTTCCATAGCAAACCAGTGACTTCAAAGCAGTCATTGCTTTTTTCATAGCAACCTGTCAATTTTCATAGCAACCAATAAACTGTGACTTTCCATAGCATCGATTAAATTCCATTGTATTTCATTCTAAGCAGGCACTGACTTCCAGGAAAATAATAGTTTTTGTAAAGCAATCAATGACGTGTTTTTGAACCAATCAATGACATCTTTTTGAACTGTTGTTTGGCCCAAGTAATAGCAAGAAGTAAAAGTTTTACACATGCAATATTTCAGATACGAAAATAAACTATGTGACATCTGTAAAAACTAAGATTTTATTTGTGCTTTCATTTATAGTTTACAATATTACTTGTTTCTTGTCATGGAGAATATTAATAAATATTCAGATAAGCGAAATTGGGGCCACCAAGACCCTCTTGTTTCAAATAGAAAAAACCCATATAAGATCTGAAGATACGCTGCCTTACACGAATTGATCAAAAAGTTCTTGGCCCGATGTACTTCAGGTAGTCAGAGAACCCAACTAATTGTCTTACTTGCCGATAAAATCGCCCTCTACATCAATGGACTTTGCCCACCTGTGCTACAGCTTATTTGACCCTTCGAAATAGAACTATCTGTTTTGGTCCTCAAAGAACTCATTGAATGCCTCCATGACATCTTCATTGCTTCTAACACGTCTTTTACGAAGCTTGGTTTTCAGTTTTGGAAACAGGTAGAAGTCAGAGGTGGCCAAGTCTGGAGAATATGGGGGATGGGAAGAATTTCAAAGCAGCAGTCAGTTGCAGCAGCCATCGCAACTTTGGATGTGTGAGCTTGCGCATTGTCGTGCAGGAGCAGAATGCCTTGAGTCAGTTTGCCCCTTCTTTTACGCGTGATTTCTTGACGCAGATGCCTCAGTTTGTCTGCATAGTATGTACTGTTAATGGTATGACCTTGCTCAAGATAGTCAATCATGATTATCCCCGACTGTACCAAAAATTGAAGCCATCATCTTCCCTGCTGATGGCACTCTCTTGAATTTCTTCGGAGGGGGTGAGCAAGGTTGCTTCCACTGCATGCTCTGTTTTTCGGATTCTGAATGGAAGTGATAGACCCATTTTTCATCCCGAGTTACAATCCAGTAGATAAAATCAGGTTCATCCTTGTAGTGAGACAAAAGATATCTTGAAATGTCATGCCTGGTTCGTTTCTGGTCGTCAGTCAACTGTCTGGGAACCCATTTAGCGGATACCTTTGACATGCCATAGACATGCCTGAACTGAACCAAAGCTTATACCCACTTCCCTAGCAATGCTTCACAGGTTTTGCCTTCTGTCGCACATGACAAGATCGTGCACAGCTTCGGCAAATTTATCGTTGGTGGCCTCTTTTGGCTGCCCATCGTCATCTCCAATGCTCTCCCTACCACTCTTAAATTCAGCAGCCCATTTTTTGTCCCCCGCCTTTTTGAAGAAAAAATGGGATATCGTCTGTCCGAGCTTGAGAGTTATGAGCTTTATTTTGTAGTTAAATAAAGAACAAAACCTCATAAAATTCATATTGTGAGCTAGTTTTTGTTTTTATGATCTTATGGACTTATGTCCAGGTGTAGTTAATGAGCTTATTTGCCTCTTAAATATCCAATGTTGGTATGTATGCCCGTCCGTCCATCACTTTTTCGTGTCCGGTTCATAACTCTGTCTTTTATCAAAGGAATTTGAAATAACTTGGCACCAATATTTGTTATGATAAGACAATGTGTCATGCGCAACAACCAGACACCTACTTCAAGGGTCAAGGTCACAGCTGCTCATTCAAGGTCAACGTTGTCTATTTCAGGGGATATGTCGTGTCCGGTCTATAACTTTCTTATCTTTGAAGGGATCTTGTAAATACTTGCCACAATTGTTCACAATAATGAGACGATGTGTCATGCTAAACAACTGGTCACCTACTTCCAAAGGGTTCTTGAAATAACTTGGCACAAACAGTCCCTTAAATAAGACAGTGTGTCATGCGAAACACCTGCATCCCTACCACCAAGGTCAAGGTCAATTTTTAAGGTCAAAATTTAACATAGTCTGTTAAAGGGTATATTTTGTGTCCTATCTAGAACTTCTTCATAGTTCAGGGGATTTTGAAATAACTCACATTAATAAGATGATATGTCAAGTACAACAGGTGCACCCCTACCTCCAAAGTCAAGGTCACACTTAGAGGTCAAAGGTTTACAGAGTCTGTTATATGGTATATTTTGTGTCCTATCCATTACTTCTTCATAGATCAAGGGATTTGGAAAATACTTGGCACAAATAATCACAATCATAAGATGAAATGTCATGCGTAACACCTGTGTACTTCATAGGTCACTTGAGGTCACACTTAGAGGTCAAAGATGTACAAAGTCCGTTAAAGGGTATATTTTGTGTCAAGTCCATAACTTTTTCTTAGATCAAGGGCTTTTAAAAATACTTTGCACAAATAATCACAATAATAAGACGTTATGTCTGGCGCAAAACATGGGTCCATACCTCTAAGGTCACACTTAGAGGTAGTCTGTTAGAGGGTAATTTTTATGTCAGATCTATAACTTCTTCATAGTTCATACTTGGCACAAATAGTAACAATAATAAGACGATATGTCATGCACAACACCTGCACCCCTATCTCCAAGGTCAAGGTCACACTTAGAGGTCAAAGCTTAACATGATAGATTTTTAAATTCCGTGTTTCGTTTTATTTCTTTAATAACTTTATTGTTGCATTTGCAGATCTTGCATTGATAATTATTTTGGACTGAAAGTCCTGAGATCCATACCTCAATGCTTCATATAAAACTTCCCTGAGGCGGGGGACATTGGTAACTCAGTTACAAATTCTTGTTCACAGTGCTATAGGAAGGGGACTCCTTCCCAAGTGTATCCATAAAGTCTTCATGGATTTCCTTGGGGAACATCCCATATGTTACAGAGGTACTTAATGACGGCTCTCAGTTTTCAACTTTCTCCATTTGATCCACTGATCAAAGTGTGTTTAATGTTACTTAATCTGTGTAAAACCGCGTGAAACTCGGTCAGTAATCTTCAATAAGACATCGGTATCGACGTATCGTGTGTAAATGTCAGTGTAGTGGCTATAAGTATATCGTGCCAAGAACTTTTTGATCATATCTCGTAAGTTTTAATGAGATAAGCAAGAACAAAAATAATATTAAAATGTTACTATAAAAATGCTATGTTATCCCCTTATTTTGAAACCTGTTATTTACTTTGAATAGGCTGTTAGTAGAGGAAAGCATTTTGCTGCTAAAAACTTTTAAAAACACTTTTAAATGCCCCCGGTGATACTTGTCTTATAATATGACTTTTTTCAAGAAAGACTACTTTCCAATCAAGTCATTTGTATATTAAATATATTAAGACCAATCCTACACTATTTTTTGATATTGATTAATCCTACTGAAGTAATAGTACTTTGAGTTAGATATGATACTAAACATTGCTATCATGCTTGTTTAAAGTAGGATTTATATTTTGTTTGTGGCTAGAGGGACAATATTTAACTGTTCTTTCTCTTTGATGTCATTCATTCCGTAATGCTTTTATGTGACTATTTTCTTTTGTGTGGCTAAAAAGAACAATAGAGAGAACAATAGAGTAGCCACATTATTACTCTCCTGTTAGAAATTCTGTCTGTGCTTCTGTCCGTCCGCACTACCGAATAGGCTTAAGGGGCCATCTAACTGTAAACAGAACAAAAGAGAACAATAGTGTTCATTCCGTAACACTAGAGTAAGGAGCCATTTGCCCTCTATTTAACAATAAAAAAATAACAAAAGAAATGACCCCTTATTCCATTTCGGTCGGTCTGTCCGGCCATGAGACAGTCCGTCCATAACACTTTTGTGTCCGCTCCATAACTTTTAAACCACTATTTTTTTTGTAATAACTAGGCACAAGTAATCACCATAATGAGAGAATGTGCAGAGCGCAATAATTGGGTTGCTACCCCCCCAGGTCAAGGTCACACTTAAAGGTCAAATGTTAAAAGCTCTTCATTTCATAATAAAAGTTGACATTTCGTGGCCACTCCATAACTTTTAAACTGCTGATTTTTTAGCTCACCTTACCACGAAGTGGTCAAGGTGAGGTATAGTGATGGGGCTATGTCCGGCGTCGTGCGTCGTTCGTCGTCAACAATCGGGTTGTTGAAGATCCTGTATGTTTTGTTATTGAGGTTGTATACCACTCTTACGTGAAATTATATATGTATATAATTATGCTAATACAACATTTTTCAAACATCAACGAATATGATATATATGAACTGCAAGTATTTGTACATATAAATTGTAATCATTAAATTATATGCATTCATTTCTTATTGGAAAATTTGAATTAGAATTTATAGAAAACAAATTTCTAATTACCACCCTTTATTTACATGAAATATTAAATTCGGTAAAATCTTTATAAATAATGCTTTTTGGAAGTTGCAATATTGTGAGCATCATATTTTTTTTATATCAAACCATAAGAAAATGTGTTACAGGATTTTTAACAGTCTAGCAGTCATAGTTTTTATTGGATCATCATCAAACTTTGTCAGAATGTTTGTCTTAATGAAACACAGATCGAGTTCTAAGATGGGTTATCTCGTGTAAAAAACTGGGTCACATGAGCTAAAAATAGAAAAATTTGTTAACACTCTAGTGGCTGCAGTTTTGATCCAAATATTCTGGAAATTTGTCTGGAAAGTTGTTTTGATGATTTATACGTCAAGTTCTAAGAAGGGTCATCTCCGATCAAAAACTAGGTCACAGGAGCTTAATATATAAAAAAAATCCTGTTAACACTCTAGTGGCGGCAGTTTTGATCCAAATATTCTGGAAATTTGTCAGGAAAGTTGTGTTGATGATTTTTAGGGCAAGTTCGAAAACGGGTCATGTCCGGTCAAAAACTAGGTCACATGAGCTTAACAATAGAAAAAGAAGCTTGTTAACCCTCTAGTGGCTGCAGTTTTGATCCAAATATTCTTGAATTTTGTCAGGAAGGGTTGTTTTGATGATATGGGTTATTGCCAGTCAGAAACTAGGTCACAGGAGCTAAAAATAGAAAAATCTTGTTAACGCTGTAGTAGCTGCAGTTTTGATCCAAATAATCTTGAAATTTGTCAAGAAGGTTGTTTTGATGATTTCTAGGTTAAAGATGGGTCATCTCCGGTAAAAAACTAGGTCACAGGAGCTAAAAATAGAAAAATCTTGTTAACATTCTAGTGGGTGAACTTGTGATTCAAATATTCTGGAAATTTGTCAGGAAGGTTTTTTTGATGATTTCTAGGTCAAGTTCGGAAATGAGTTGTCTCCGGTCAAAAACTAGGTCACAGGAGCTAAAAATAGAAAAATCTTGTTAACATTCTAGTGGCTGCAATTTGGATTCAGATATTCTGGAAATTTGTCAGGAAGGTTGTTTTGGTGATTTCTAGGTCAAGTTCGGAGATGGGTCATCTTCGGTCAAAAACTAGGTCACAGGAGCTTAAAAATAGAAAAAAAAATCTTGTTAACACTCAAGTGGCTGCAGTTTTGATCCAAATTTTCTGGAAATTTGTCAGAAATGTTGTTTTGATGATTTTTTGGTAAAGTTTGAATATGGGTCATCTACGGTCAAAAACTAGGTCACAGGAGCTTAAAAATAGAAACAGCTTGTTAACACACTAGTGGCTGCAGTATTGATCCAAATATTCTGGAAATTTGTGAAGAAGGTTGTTTTGATGATTTCTAAGTCAAGATTGAAGATTGGTCATGTCCGGTCAAAAACTAGGTCACAGGAGCTAAAAATAGAAAAATCTTTTTAACACTCTAGTGGCTGCAGTTTTGATCCAAATATTCTGGAAATTTGTCAGGAAGGTTGTTTTGATGATTTCTAGGTCAAGTTTGAAGATGGGTCATTTCCGATCAAAAACTAGGTCACAGGAGCTTAAAAATAGAAAAAGCTTGTTAACACTTTAGTTGCTGCAGTTTTTATCCAAATTTCCTGGAAATTGGTCAGAAAGGTTGTCTTGATGATTTCTAGGTCAAGTTTGAATATGGGTTGTCTCCGGTTAAAAACTAGGTCACATGGCCCAAATATGGAAAAAAACTTTTTAACACACTAGAGGTCACATTTTTGACTCAATTGTTATTAAACTGGGTCAGAATGTTTGTCTAAGACATTGCTTGGATGCGGTTGATGGGTCAGGGGAGCGATCCAGGGCCACCATGGCCCTCTTGTTTTAAATAACTTGGCACAAGTTTTCACCATAATGAGACGATGTGCAGAGCGCAATAATTGGGTTGCTTCCACCAAGGTCAAGGTCACACTTAAAGGTGAAATGTTAAAAAGTCTTCATTTCATAATAAAAAAGTCTACATTGTGACGATGAGACGATGTGCAGAGCGCAATAATTGGGTTGCCACTGCTTTTCATCCGTCCGTCTGTCTGTCCGTAAACTTTTACTTTAAACGACATCTCCTCATAAACCGCTCAGCCAATTCATCCAAACTTCACAGGAATGTTTCTTTGATAGTCAACATTCAAAATTGTTCAAAGAATTTAATTCCATGCAGAGCTCTGGTTGCCATGGCAACTGAAAGAAAAAAAATAAAATATCTTTTTTAGAAAATCGAAAAATCTACAGCTTAAATAATTGACATGAAACATCATCTAGCCAGTGCCTACCTAGTTTGTTTAAATATATGCCTTGGGGTTAAAGTTTGCCCGGGGGGGGGGGGAGGGGGGTATTTGATTTTCCTTTTTTGCATATAGTTAAACTTAAAAAATCTTCTTTTAAAAAAAAACCAAATAGCTAGAGCTTAGATATTAAACATGAAATATCTTTTAATGGGTGTTTTTACCAAGTTTGTTCAAATAAAAGCTCCTGGTTTAAAATTGGCCTTTGCCCATGGGCCTAAATACAGGTGAGCGATTTCAGGGCCATCATGGCCCTCTTGTTAAGATAACTTGGCAGAAATGATCACCCTTATGACACCATTGGCAGAGCACAATAATCAAGTCACAACCCTGAAAGTCAGGGTCACACTCAAAAGGTCCAATGTAAAAAACATTTGTTTTTCTTGTCAGCCTTATAACTTATTGACAATTCAAAGGTTTTAAAATTACTTGGCACAAATGATCATCACCATGATACAATCTGCAGAGTTCAAAATCCAGGTTGCTACCCCCAAGGTCAAGGTGATATGTTCTCCATAACTATTTTTACTTTATTGAAGATTTCAAACAACATGGCACAAAAAATCACCACCATGAGACTATGTGCATATGATATGCATGGCATAACATCAAGGTCGTGGCTGGTAAAAGGTTCACTGCGGAAGGGGATTTAGCTGTCCTTCAGACTGCCTTGTCCTGCTTATTTTTAGCGGCAATAAACAACTACAGGTTGTTAATAAAGCCAAAATGGATATACATATAAAAATATTGCTCAAAATGTAATATTCTTTTGTCAATTATGTCAGCTACATTATTTAAGAAATTTGTTGTCTGCAAGATATGCCTATGAGTTATAATGACAGTAACATATTTTGTAAATTTTATATTATAAAGCAGTTTTGCAAATAGATTTTAAATACTAGAACCTTATATATATTATGTTTTTGTATATTCAGAAGGAAACTCAAGAAGTAATAAACAGGTGAAGTTCCGACAAGGTAATGTTAAAAAAAATTTGTTACGTACAACAAAATCAAACAAACAGTTAAAAAATATTTGTTCATAGATGTATGTTATTGTAAAGATGCGTTGACTTATACATGTATTTCATTGCTTGAGTGAAAACTCGATTACATTTAAACATGATAAAGTACTAACATGAAACTTCAATTATATCTTAAAAAACTACAACGTTCAGAGCTTAAATATTTCCTTGTTTTTGTATTTCATGCAAAAATAACAAAAATTGTTTTGCCAAGGAGGTTTTTTTTTGTAACATTGACCTTGACTTTGAAGGAAAGAAAACAAACTTTAAATATCTTATTTTCAAAATGTCAAATATTTTCTTCCTTTTTTCATATTTTCAAAAGGAAGCTCAAGTAGCAAATTAAAGGTGCAGTTGCCGCAGAGTAATGGCAAGTAATTTTTGTAATAAATTTCGTATAAAATGTGTTGTGTTGAGAGATGAAAACATGTAATTTCATATGAGTGTTTGCATATGCAGAAATGGGAACAAAATTATTTAGGTTGGCTGAATTTTATACTAGTTTAAATAAAGTGTATAACAAATACAAATTCATTTTTTATCATTAATCATAAGGCATTTAGAAAAGACGCATATCAATTTTGCATTAAAAATAACTTTGCAGGATTTTTAAAATGTTTTTTTTTTAGTTTACAAACGCGTTGTGAATGTTATTAATTTCATGTAACACTATCTTATTTTTGGACATTTAGAACCTTTGATGTCTCCACCTGATGTGACGTGTTCAGTCCCAAATGGTAAATGTTTATCTTGTATTCACTGATAATGCTTTAAATTATTGTTTTCGTTTTAAAGATCAACGTCCTTTTATTCAATAAAGCAATAAGCATTTCTCATGAACACACTAATATTAGAGTTGTTATTTCTTTGGTTTTGTCGAAAGATAGTTAGGACATATAGATCTCTTCTCTATCGTTTGTCTGTCCATCACAACATTTTTCCGGACTACTCCTCAAAATCTACTGGTGGAATTTCATCCAAACTTTACAATAATGTACAGGACCTTTTAGTTAGCCCGTTTGAATAACGGGTCTTATTATAGTTTCCCCCTGGTAGGCAGGTAGATGGGTGGGCGTCGTCAAATGTCTTGTCCGGAACATATCTCCTACACACATGACGGAATTTCAATGAAACTTCATAGAAATGTTCACCTGTATCAGAAGCTGTGTCGCGCACATGAACAAGGTCTCCAGGTCAAAGGTCAAGGTCACGAATAGAGGTCACTGAAAAAGCTTGTTGAGAGCAAAACCTCTACATGCAATGAGGGATTTTAATATAACTTGGCACATTCAATGTTCACCATTGTGAGGCGCAGTATTGCGAACAAAATTTAGGCCCTTGCAGCCAAGATCAAAGTCAAACATAGGGGTCAAAGTACAGATAAAAATTTTGAAAATGTGTATTCGGACCATTTAGTAACCGTTTATTAAGGGATTGAAACACAAATGGTCATTATCATATCTACTGGTGTGAAACATGTAATTAAGTTTAATATATGCAAGGCCACTAAAGATGATAAAATATAGAAATTTTGTTCAGATCATATCTCCTTCATGCATGGTGGGAATCTAATGAACATTCATAGAAATTTTCACCACTATAAGAAGCAGTGTCACATGCATGAACCAGGTCTCTAGGTTTAAGGTTTAAGTCATACTTAGAGGTCATTGAAAAATGCTTGTTCGGAGCTAGAACTTCTACATTCATCGGGGGATTTTTATGTAACTTGGCAAAAATGTTCACCATTGTTAGGCTTATTGCATAAGCTTTCCAGGTCCCTTCTACCAAAGTCAAGGTCACATAGAGAGGTCAAAGTTTGTGTACGAGGACCATTTAGTCATTTATTGGTTTATTTAGAATTTATTTTAGTTCGATTATGTAGGAAGCTATAAGCTTATAGACACACTTTCGAATAAGTTCCTGCAACCAACCAGTACTGAGCAATGAGTGTAAAGTTTCTTGCTCAAGGAAACAACGAATTGCCCCTGACGGTATTTGAACCCATGCAGCTAACAATCATTATATTACTAGTCAAAAGATTTTGTGATGGGTTTCTTGTGCCAATATTGCCCTTGTTTAGTTATGTGAATTTTCGAGTTCAATGATTTTTTCAGAGTTTAGGTCCTTCAATAATTGTGCCCCTATTAAAAGGGCCATTTAAATTTACCCTTGTCTGTCCACCCATTCATCAGTCCATCCATCCATTTGTTCTCTTTTGCGTCGCACGGCAGGTCAAAAAAAATATTTGAGTCATGAAACTCTATAGGATTATATTGGTCAGCATTAGTAGTTGTGCACCTAGGTGTTTGCATATACATGTATTATTTGCAATTTTTAACTTGTGTCTCACCTAGTCTTAAAATTATTTGACCTAAGTTCTTTTAACTTTATAGGAATGTTGCTAGGATGTGAAGTTGTGCACCTGTAGTTTTGCTAGTGAATTTATTCTGTTTTGAACAAGAAATGGCCCTTGACTTAGTAAAAATTGCAATTTTCAATTATTGTCGTGCATAGATGAAAAAATATTTGACCTAGAGTCATGAAACCTGGTAGAAATGTTGGTCAGCAAGTGTAGTTGTGCATATGGGGGTTTTCATTTGAATGTATGCAGTATTTGTTATTGCCATTTACTTTGTAAAAAATAACGATTTTCATCTTGTGTCACGCCTAGCACAAATAATGTTCGACTAATGGTCATGAAACTTTACAAGATTGTTGATAAGCATGTGAAGTTTTGCACCTGGTGTTTTGCTTGTGGATTGATTCTGCTTTGTCAGAGTAATTGCCCTTGACTTAGTAAATATTTCAAATTTTCAATTTGTGTTTCACGTATTCAAAAAAATATATGTCATGAAACTTTAAAGGAATGTTGATAAGCATGTGTATGTTGTTTACCAGGGGTTTCGGTTGTGGATTTATTCAGTTTTTGTAGAGTAATTATCCTTGACTTAGCACTCCAAATTGTTGCGTTATGTCTATAATGACTGCTTAAGTCAGAATCAACTAACCTTACAGGAATGATGATCAAAATCCTGTCACCCTGTGCACTTTGTGCTTGAGTAGAAGGATTATTTTTCAGTTTTGTTAGAGTTATTGACCTTGACTTAGTTTAAATTATAGACTTATTCATGCATAGCTCTAAAAGTATTTGACCTGTAGTCCTGAAAGTATACAAGAATGTTGCATGTGCAGTTATGCACCTTGGGGTTTTCTTGTGAATTTATCCAGTATTTGTAGAGTTTTTGTCATTGACAAAGTAAAAGATTTTCAGTTTTCAACTTGTGTCACAGTTTTGTAGCCAAAACACATTTGGCCTAGTGTCAGCAGATTGACAAAACAGTGAAATGTGGGGGAACCCGTGTCCTATGGACACATTTCTTGTTTTGTCCAGACTACTTTTATAATTATAATGAAATTAATTACTGAAACTTAACTTCATTGATAGGTACCTCAAGTATTTGAGCATATGATATTTAATAGGTTTTCCGGTTATAAGGTTTTTGGTTGTCGAGTTTGACCTTGAAAAAAGGGTATTTTGTCCTGTTAATAATTATTGGGTCTCCTGCTACATTATAGCTGCAACAAACTGTAATCACCACTTAATACAACCGCTTAATTGCCTTTCATCAGACGTTTAAAGAACTTGGTAAACATGTTAAATCTCGGAGTTATCCAGGGTAACTAGTGAGTTTGGTAGGTATGTGCTCTCCCCCTCCCCCACCTATTTGCTCGTTTATACTGAAGGATTGTCCACAAAAGAACCCATAGTTTTATTTATGAAACTGTTTTTGAGTAGTTGGCATAGCATTGAAAAGAAAAGGTGCGGCTAAAAGTTTCGTTGCTAGATATGAAAAGATCTGTTGTTTATAAGCAAATAAATGACATGTTTTGTTTTAGGATACCATTTCATTTTGTATAAATGTAATGTGTTTTTATATTAAAAATATTACGATACAAATACTCAAAATTGATGTTGAATTGATTTAGAATTCATTTATAGTTTCAGTTTGGAAATATCTATTCTTCTGGCCGTATCATTTGGCGTGTTTTAAAGGTATGCTATTCATTTTTAGCTCGACTTTTTTTTTTTGAAAAAAAAGTAGAGGTATTGTTATAGTCGGGTCGGCGTTGCCGTTGCCATCCGCAAACTTGTACCTGGATCATAACTATTTTATTTCTTGGTGTATTGTCTTCATTCTTGGCCACAACAACCCTTGGGACAAGACCTTTCAGTAGACCACACTAACCTTGACCTTCATCCATAAATGACCTTGACCTTCAAGGTTAAAAGTCCAATTTTTGCTTGTTCATGCTGTTATTGGCTGTAACTTTGTTTTTTTTGAATGGATTGTCTTCAAACTTGAACATAATAATCTTCAAGGATATCCCTTAAAAATAACCCACCAGACCTTCACCTTCACTCATAAATGACCTTGACTTTGAAGGTCATATTGAAATTTTCATTTTTAGCTCGACTATTCGAAGAATATGAGAGCTATTGTAGTCGCCCCGGCGTCGGCGTCGGCGTCAGCGTCCGCGTCGGCGTCTGCGTTGGTTAAAGTTTTTTGTAAATTCAAATATCTCAATTATTGCTTGAGATATTCAATTGAAACTTACAATACTTATTTATAGTAACAATGTACATCAGATTGACAAGTTGGATAACTCTACCTACAATATTGACAGAATTATGCCCCTTTTTAACTTAGAAATTTTGGTTAAAGTTTTTTGTAAAGTCAAATATCTCAATTATTGCTTGAGATATTCAATTGAAACTTGCAATACTTATTAATAGTAACAATGTTCATCAGATTGACAAGTTGGATAACTCTGCCTACATATTTGACAGAATTATGCCCCTTTTTAACTTAGAAAATTTTGGTAAAAGTTTTTTGTAAAGTCAAATATCTCAATTATTGCTTGAGATATTCAATTGAAACTTGCAATACTTATTTATAGTAACAATGTACATCAGATTGACAAGTTGTATAACTCTACCTACAATATTTTCAGAATTATGCCCCTTTTTAACTTAGAAATTTTGGTTTATGTTTTTTGTAAATTCAAATATCTCAATTATTGCTTGAAATGTTCAATTGAAACTTACAATACTTATTTATAGTAACAAGGTACATCAGATTGACAAGTTGGATAACTCTACCTACAATATTGACAGAATTATGCCCCTTTTAACTTAGAAATTTTGGTTAAAGTTTTTTGTAAAGTCAAATATCTCAATTATTGCTTGAGATTTTCAATTTAACCTTACAATACTTATTTATAGTAACAATGTTTATCAGTTTGCAAAATCGCATAACTCTGCCTGCAATATTTGCAGAATTATTTGTTTTGAAACTTAGAAATTTTGGTTAAAGGTT